TCAATGATTATCCTAATTATATTTTAGAATTTTTATATTTAAAATGAGATGTTTATCCTGTATTTGATTATGTTTATCTGCAGTTAGTTACACGAATTCAGATATGGAGCTTTAATAAGTTGTACTTACGCACAATCTACTTGTAATCTTGCGTTTTAAGTAATATGCATTAATAAACAGTATTTTACGCATAAAAGATGGTTTTTAAGAGTTTTTGTCAAATGCTTTATAATATAGTATAGATATAGAGGTGAATTATTATGCAACATTTTACATTTGTACAATAAATACAACTCAATCTCAAACGTCTATTTAATTTGATGAATATGTTATTTCATAAAAGTTTTGATTGTCTCCTAATATAAAGTATTAATCATAATTAATGAACTTTAATCATCTTTCATAAATATTCAAATCATAATAAATGAACTCTCATCATTTTCAAAAATATCTCAATTGATTAGGTTGCATTGGTTGTACAAATGGACTTGGTTGCATTTGAAATATACCCTATATATATATATATATATATATATATATATATATATATATATATATATATATAAGGGTCGTTTACCTAAATACTTACCCGGTAAGCTTTAATGGTAAAATTCAATTCTATCGCTTACTTATCGGGTAAGGTTTTAGTCTACCAAAATGACATCGTATGTAACAATTTACTCGGTAAGCGCTAAACATGGTAAGAGTCATCGCCATCACTTATCGGGTAAGATCTTGGTCCTTGAATTCGCTCTTGCCAAGTAAGATTCTTGGTTTTTGCCATATTCACCCAGTAAAAAAATATGACTTGGTAACGGTTACCCGTATAAGCATTCGGTAAACGGCCCATAAATATTATTTCATTAGAAATAAAATAATATAATAAAATAAATGAAAAGTATAATTAATGGAGTTAATTGTGTATAGGTTGATAGGAACATCGATCTGGTCTACGGAGGAGGAAGCATCGGGTTAATGGGCCTTGTTTCCAAAGCTGTCTTTGACGGTGGTCGCCACGTCCTTGGGTAAAACGCCCCCCTCATCTTTCACATGTAAAACATAAAATGTTTAGGAATGGCAACGGGCCGGGTTCGGGCCGGGTAGTGGTATCCCTGTCTCCGAAACCGATAGCTAAAACCGTCCCCGTAACCGTTCCGATCCCCGTCGGGGATCTTATCGGGGATCCCCATCGGGTCCCCGCGGTTTCCCCGATCCCCGTTGGGGAACCCGTTAAGGGTAAAAATTCTCTTTTTCATCGTTGGTTATAACCGAACCCGAACCCGAAACCCGAAACCCGAACGGATATAAAAAAAATTATAATATGTTAATTTTCACAATTAAAAGTAAATTACAATTTTTTAAAGATCTAAGTTTAAATGTCTCAAACATAATTGTACCAATTACAAACAATGTATTAGATTACAATATAAAACTAAACAAAAATTCGAACATCATACAACTAAAATCATGGTTTTTGACAAATAAACTAGACTTTTCGTGAACTTTATTTGGGTTGTTGAGGTAAAGTGGATAATTTTTTTAAAAATTTTAATGTTACTTTTTTAAAAGATATTATATATATATATATATATGTAGAGGAGTGATCATATGAAAACCGYCYYCATTTGTGTAAACCGTGCAAACCACCTTCATCTGTCGATTTCATTGTTTAATCTTATGAAATTTTTTCATGAAATTGTTTAATCTTGTGAAATTGTTTCATATAATACTTTTTTTTGATGAAGTTGTTTCATATATGGTTGTGAAATTGTTTCATATAATATTTAATGAAACTGTTTCATGTATTTCTCTAACATTAATGAAACTGTTTCATGTATTTCTATAAAATTAAAATAATGAAGATGATAATATCTATGATTAACACCCTACATAATAAAAATGATTAATCAACCTCTCATAATTACAAAAAAAATGAACAAAATGAAAAATTATGATTGGTTGAATACGGTTCGCACGGTTTGTACAAATTGAGTGGTTTGCATTTGATCGCTCCCCTATGTATGTATGTATGTATGTATATATATATATATATGTATGTATGTATATAAATTAAAATAAATAAATATATATATATATATACATATATACATATCGGTCCGGGCCGGGCCGGTGATCACCGTCCCCGCCCCCGTCCCCGTTAAAATCCCCGAATTCGTCCCTGATCCCCGTCCCGTCCCCGATAAAATGTCTCCGAATCCGGCCCAAAAGTTTCGGTTTTCGGTTTTGACCGTCGGTTTCGATTTTTTTTGCATCCCCAAAAATGTTCTTTTATATATGAAACAGACAGAATTGTTTCACATGTGAAATAAAACATATCCATACATTTCACATACACAAAATGAACACTTAAAGCATGCATAAGTATTCATACCCTCAAATGAGATTCGATGAACGGTTGGGATTGGTTCTCAAAAAAAAATTAATGGTTCTCAACTTCTCATTAGATATTTCTCTTCTATGTATTCTTATATGATGTTTGCATGTGGTCTATATATTTTTAGTTAAAATAAAAATGGAAATGTTAGTTTTCAACTGACTTCATAGAGTATTTATGAAAAGTGTTTGGATTAGCTTATAACAGTACCACATCAGATAAGCTGATAAAATAGATGAGATACCCATTTTTTTTCTATTCAAACACTAAAAACTCTTTATTACCGGTACCATACCGGAATAAGTTAATGAATTATAAGAGAGTAGCTTATCAAAAACTTCTTATTACCGGTATCACACCAAAATAAGTTAATAAACATCTTAAATAAGCAATCTCAAACACCCCCTTAATAAAACTTTTAAGTTTACAGGAGTAATAATACAAATACATAATAATAAGTTGGTGGATTGAACTTAAGTGACCTAATAAGTTTATCGTTATTAAACAATAAGTTGTCGAGACGGAATTTGGACAACCTAACAGGATTCAAGAAGTAAATATCATTATATTAGCTGTTTTATAGAATAACTCATGCCCTTTACTGAAAAATGTTCTATAGAACACTTTTCAGTAAGAGGCCGTTTACCCAAGTACTTACCCGGTAAGCGCTTACCGGTAGGAGTCAATACTATAATCTATTTTACCAGATAAGATTGTAGTATATTAAAACGGTATGGTACGCAACAATTTACCCAGTAAACGCAGTGTTTATAACATTGCGTTGATCATTTGTACATTAAAGTTTATCGACCTTTCTCATCTTTTTCGATACTGCAGGGTGATACCTAAAATGCTTATGTCGAAAGAGGTAAATCTCTCAATTGGTTACAAAATTTATTTTTATTTTTATTTTTTAAATAGAAAATAAAAATAAATGTTGGAATTTTAGATCATCGGAGAAACTGTTGGTGAAGTAAAAGTAGTGTCGAACATGCACCAGAGGAAAGCTGAGATGGCACGTCAAGCAGATGCCTTTATAGCGTTGCCAGGTATTATTTCTATGATACGACTAATTGTTCGGAAAAAAAATAAGAAGGCAAATAGTAGGTGTTTAATTGTTGAAAATTATGCAGGTGGTTACGGCACACTTGAGGAACTTCTTGAAGTCATTACGTGGGCACAACTCGGAATCCACCAAAAACCAGTAATTACTGAATACGCTCAGTTAGTTAATTTTATAGAGGAAATATAGTCATTACAGACCACTACCATATTACTTGTGAATGACTCATCCTAGTAGGGGTGTTCATGGGTTGGGTTGATCGGGTTGAAGACATTTGAACAACCCAACCCAATGTTTGTGGTTTGAAAAATCTTTACCCAACCCAACCCAAACCATAGTGCAACCCAACCCAACCCAACTAGTACGGGTTGGTCGGGTTGATACTTTGGTACATTAAAATATTCTTCTAACCTTGAATATGTTATTTTACTACTCATAATTTCTTTTTCATCATTAAACATTTGATACAACTTATTCATATTTATTATGTATATCGCATTCAATTTATTTTCTCAATTTACATATATATGTTCACAGTTACTGAACATATATAAATGAGTTATATAGAGATGTGAATAGATTGAAAATATGTGTATATGAAAAGCATACATGATAATGTAATTGACTAATATATATATTAATAGAAATTCAACAATCATATTAAATCCAAAAAATAGAAGGATATCGGGTTCATCGGGTTGGGTTGAGTTCAAATAATATCAACCCAATATCTACGGTTTGACAATGTTACAACTCGATTAGACATCGGGGTTGCTTTGAGTTGGGTTATTTCGTGTTGGGTTGGGTTGAGTTGATCGGGTTTTTGAGCACCCCTACATCCTAGGCTAGTGAGGCTACAATGCAAAGAACCGCATCCTTACACTCTAGTAAGAAACAACACGGGCTCTATTTGCCCTATTTGCATAAATGGTGTAAGGTTACGATCTCATGGTCAAAAATTGCATACGGAGGGTTCGGTAAACAAAATAGCGTCATTTCATGGACAGGGTTGTTGACGAATTTGAGTATATACAGGTAGGATTACTGAACGTAGACGGATACTATAGCTCGTTGTTGTCTTTCATAGACAAGGCCGTTGATGAAGGTTTCATCACCCCTACTGCTCGTCACATTATTGTGTCTGCCCAAACTGCACATGAACTCATGTCGAAGCTTGAGGTACATACGCCTTCTATATTTAACTAACTCTGATTTTATTTCTAATTTTGGAAACTAAGAATCATTATTTCTTATTTGGGAAAATTGCATCAAAATAAAACCAACTTTCACATGATTTCTATTTTGAGAAACCAACTTTCAAAATTGTCATTTAGGGGTCTCTATCAAAGTTTTTGTTTATTTAAGGGTTTGATTGACCTATTGACCTGTTAATGCTGACATTATCCAGATCTTTTGCCAACTAAGATATTCCACGTCATACTAATTTTTTATTTTAAAACTAATATTCCACGTCATATTTAAAATTGCAAAATAATTATAGAAAAACAACTAAAATTCGTTTTTTCTAAATTTTAGTTGTTTTTCCAAAAATTATTGTAATAAACTCTATTTTTCATTCCAAATCTCGTTTTAAAAAAAAAAAATCAGATATCAAACTGATGATTTTTTCAAAAATGGATTTTTTTACTCACAATTTGATATTTGAATTTTAAAAAAAAAACGAGATTTGGAATGAAAAATATATTTTATTACAATAATTTTTGGAAAAAAAAAACGAATTTTAGTTATTTTTCTATAATTATTTTGCAATTTTAAATATGACGTGGAATATTAGTTTTAAAATAAAAAAATTAATATGACGTGGAATATCTTAGTTGGCAAAAGATCTGGATGATGTCAGCATTAACAGGTCAACCAAACCCTTAAATAAACAAAAAGTTTGATAGAGACCCCTAAATGACAATTTTGAAAATTGATTACCCAAAATAAGAATCAGGTAAAAATTGGTTTTATTTTAATGCAATTTTCCCTTCTTATTTAAATAATCCAGTGACGAAATTCATGTTATCCAAAAAAAAATTAGTTCCAAACTGATTTTCTAAATAAAAATGGTTTATTAAAATATGATATTTTTTATTTCATGTTTAGAAAAATAAACCTTTATTATTTATTTATTGTGATATATTTTTTTAAATTTATTAAACAATATTTAAATTCAAGATATTTGCAGGATTACGTTCCGGAGCAGAATGGGACGGGATCTAAATTGAGTTGGGAAATGGAGCAACAATTGGGTAATACCGTAAAGTCAGATATTGCCCGTTGACTTAATCTCATCCCTCCAAAACCGAACCTAAAATCATTAACAACCGTTAGATTGGCAACCTACCACAAGTTCGTTCTGATAGCTGACATCGGATCCCAAGTCCCCTGGTGTGTGCGGATTTATTTATTCGGTTCATATATATTTGATTGTGTTGTGTGATTTTTGATAGTCAAATACAGATCTTAGGTTTACAGTACTTTTTATATTTTTTTAATATATAATTAAACAAACAAATTGATCAATTGTATTTATATTATTATGTTATAATTAATTATATGTTATTTTTGTTTATCTATATTATATTATAAAGTATTTGACAAAAACTCTTAAAAACTATTTTTTATGTATGAAGTATTGTTTGTTGATGCATATTACTTAAAATTTAAGATTACAAGTAATTATACGTAAGTACAACTTATCAAAGCTTCTTGTTTGAATTCGTATAACTAACTGCAGATAAACATAATCAAACAGAGGATAAACATCTCATTTTAAATATAAAAAATAAAAATATAATTAGAATAATCATTGACTTCTAATAAAATATTTAATAATTATCAATATAAAAAATTATATTATTAAACCAAAAATTGAAAAAAAAATGAATTACAAAAGTACACACGAAAACAATAAATTTTAAATTGTTAGTTTGGTATTAATATCAATATCTTTTTTCAATTTTTTATTATATTTTTATATTTATATTTTATTCAAAAATAAAAACATTATTATTTTCTCAAAATCACATAAAACTGTATTATAACATCGACTGAGACAAATAAATAAATAAAACGAAACATCAAAATCGAGATTTATTTCGTTGCATTGTACGAGTACTCTTCTAGTTATTAATTAAATTAGATAGTGTTAAATCGGTCATTAGTTTGGTTTCTGAAACGAAGTATTTAGTGATATTTTCAGCTGAATTTCGTCAAAAAGACACAAAAAAAACCCGTGAAACATTGTGATCGCCAACGGCTAATATCATAGCCACGATATCTTGGCTATAGCGGAACAAACTCGTAAACCTACTTCCATACCGGACACTACTCGTCATGAACTCGGTCCCCTAAACATTTAGCATATGCAACTATCGTAACAAAGAAGTTACAACGAAAACGACCGTATTGGAATTTTATGAGACGTGTTTTATGAAGAAAACAATAACGAATACAACACGAATAATATGCTTACGACCATGCGTAAAGAGGGATTCACAAAAAGAATTTAGGGACCGATGAATACGTAACCAATCCAGAGAGAAGCCCAACAAGAACCGCACTGTTATACGTACTCGGTTCACCTTGCATTGTATTGTTACGTGAATCTATATACTTGTCGTACTTAGAGGGTCCTCCAACAAGCGCGCCGGTCGCAACATTCGGGTTCGGTTTATGGGATTTGAGCCACTTAAAGCCATTCTTGCAGCTGGGTTTGGCATCGGCAGGTATCGAGGCTCCCCTATGGTGCACGTATTGCGGGTACTTGCTACCGTATCCAACAAGATAGCTCATCTTCATTGGATTGTCTCCCAACACGTAATCAGCCTAACACGATATACGTTGATTATTAGTATTAAAACTTTTGCAGTCATACATCAGCTAGACACAACCCACAAACCTGTATATTTGTTCTATAAAGGTGCGTTTCGTATGCATATAAGACTGGATTGGACTGGACGGACAAAAGTGAGGTAAGTGGTTGAAAGAATTGTGGAATATCTTTTGTAAGTCATGTCCCATCTTCATAACTTTTATTCTATCTATTTTTTTTTATTAACCTGGATATCCAACCCGTTATGCGAGCCGACTAATCCTGGGCGACCACCTGCTTTGCAGATAGCTCGGAGTCACCGGATTTGAACCTCATTGGCCACAAGGGAATTTTTATTCCTCCTTGGATTTGAATCTGGGACCTCCTGGTACTTTTGACCTTTGGAACCAAGCTCAAACCAATCGGTCACCACCCTTGTGGTTTGTTCTATCTATTTTTATGGGACATAAAAAATGCATTTTTGTCCCCTTTTTTGGAGAACAACTCTTTTGTACCGTCAATTTGTCATTTCATATTTACTAAATGCATCCTAAGGGGCTCTTTTAGAGAGAGGTTCAAATCGTTCCATAAGAATAATGTCTGCGATAAAGATAACGTCAATGCCACAAATTAAATGATACCTGTGATTTGGCAAACTTTCGAAGATCGGATGGTGAGAAAGACTCTGTATCGCATTCGAGTTTTTGGGTCTCGGATGTAAGCATGTAGTCGCTGAATACAAGGGCTAAAAAGGCGGAAGCTACAGGTTGCTGCAAAGCATGCCACTTGTTGACCCAAATTAGACCGCCTACGTTATTGACAACAACAATCAGACCATTAAAATATGTAAAACCCCTTTAAATCTCTCTAAAAGAAACCTTATAGAGAAAGGGGAGGTTCCTACGTATATACAGACTTGATAATCTCTATCTAGCCGATATGAGACTCGGTAGAAAAATTGAGGGGGCTAATGCAGATTGATCCATTGACACAAAAAAAGCAAACCCATTATATCTCGACGAGAGATAGGGTCCTGGGAAGGTAAGATATACGCAGATCTTACCTCAGTCTCAAAAAACAGAGAGACTGTTTTCGAAAAGACTCCCGACTTGCAATGATCCATTGATAATACAATTAGATATTCGTTGAACATAAAAAGCAGTGTTCGTATGTTTCTGATATTTTCGCATGTGTTCTCTTGAGAACGTAAACTTGAAAAATACCTTCGGTTCTGCTTCCTGTTGCGGTCGGAGAATCTGGCAAGAGGTTGCACATGATAGCCTCGGCTGTCCTTCTGTACTCATTGAGGTTATCTATATCTGCGTCGTCGTCAAGACCAAAGAAGCTTATTCTGGACAACAAAACCTGCATCCGATTCAAATACTTAATTTCAAGTTCCGCACAATCCAAATTTGTAGCAATTTACAGATAATAATCCTCTATATGTATCGAGAAATAAGTCGGGTGGTCCTTTGCTATATGCCATGCACACCATTGACTAACGGAGCCGGGAGCAATATAAGTCAAATGTGGACACTTTTCTTGGAACGAAGGGAGTATATAATACTTTCAATAACCCAATGTGGTATACATGAAGCTCAAAGTTACTTGAGTTAGCTCCCAACACTTTCCCAAAATTATCTTTTGCCTATTAGTAATAAGATAACAAATGACAGATAACGTTAATCTTATTTCACAAGATTCTGTTATCCGTCATTATTAAGACTTATTTTTAATATTTAGCTAACAGTCGAATATATTCATTAAAATATGTATCTTTTCAGACCTACATTAGTTATATGGATTAGAAGGGAGTACTTTAGATCTCAGAGTCCGTCTAAGAAACCAAACAAAACTAGCCCATCCTGAGATGGGCCTAGGGGATATGATGTAAGCAAACATGACCTCTACCCTAGAGAGTAGGGTGATTGTTTCCATTAAAAAACCCGTCTTGTAAAAAGTGTGTAAAAGAGAGAAAGTTAGCCCAAAAACTTGAGGAAATATATGAATGAAAAGGACTTGAAGAACTAGAGACAAGAAAGACAGATAAGGTAACTTTTGGAAAGTTAGTTATGAACTTTAAGCCTGAGTCCCCACGGCTTTAACCTAGCAGGAAAGGAGGTGGGCATCTTTACAGAATTTCAAGTCCGACCTTTCTTCCTAATATTATAAGTGAATCTCTAACAACCCTACAAGCATTGCGAGTTTCAGTTTCTTTTAGAAACAACGATGTATTAATATATGGAGCGTTTGGTAAAAAGAACAAGAGAAAATCTTACATGAGTTCCGGGTAGCTTATCATCCCAACTGAACCAAGTAGGAGTTCCCCAATTAGCATACTTTTGTCCATCTTTTCCAGTTACTACATCAAGATATGTGCTATCTTTTGTTGCATAATAGAGCCAGCTAGCTGCCCACAGAATCTCATCCCCATAACCGGTTGAATCGTAATATGCTCGAACTTCAGGGATGCTTTTGCTATAAGAACCTCGATATTCATCGGCAAAAACAAACAAGTCCTGGGCGTGCCTAAGAAGCAAGCTCGAATACGTTGCATTACTGGACTTGAACACCAAGGATGCGGAAGCCAAGGCTGCTGCAGTTTCAGCAGCAACATCTGAACCTGGTTTTGAAGGGTTCACCATTGTGAGAGGCCGTTTCTCAGTCATGTCTTCAGGCCTATTCCAACATTTATGGTCTGCCACAGGATCTCCGACCTGAAAATAGACAATGACCTTATTTTAGGGTCGTTTTAGTTAAATGACCTTCTATGACATGACCAAAAGCCAATTTGAAATACACCAACCCAGTAAATCCCACTCAAAAGTGGGTCTAGAGGGATGAGATGTACGCAGACCAAACCTCTACCCCATGAGTTCAGTGGCTGGTTCTATGAAGACCCTGGCTTGTGCAAGAGTGTGTATATAACAAGGCTTTAACAATATAATTATAAATTACCCCACCCTTTTCATTTTTTTGCAAATCAAACTATAAGATTTTCATGGGTTCTTTGTAAAACAAATGATAACATCATACTTCATAAGAAACAACAGAAATATCCAACGATTACCAAACATACATATCCAAAGATCAATGCAAATATCATGGTGATATCGAAGTTTCAGTTAATTAACAGAATCAGGCAGTAACCTGGATGTAAAGCACATCATGTTTAGGATGAGCATTCATAAGGTAGTCAGTGATCCATTTAAGAGAGTCTTTAGCAGGCTGCAATTGATTTACTGCATTCATATGTACGCTGTACTCGAGGATGGCCCAAGAAAGCACAGTAGCAGTAAACGCCATCGGAAATCCAAACTTCATATGATCACCAGCATCATACATTCCCTTCGAAAGATCCACATGAGCACTCTTCCCATCATTTAGAGCCGAATCCCCCCTCCACGGTATCTTATTGTGTACCAACTTACCAGCTAGAACACAACAACAAGATCGTAATCCATTAGTCGGAAATCACAAGATGCCACATGATTCAAATGAACCTAAAGACAACCTATTCAATTTTACAATTGAAACAAAAAATCAAAATACATGGAATTAAGGGGAAAATGGTGTGTTGACGAAATATGAATCAAGTTATGACACAACGAATTACAACACATCTACAACAATCAAGTTTATTGTACCAAATTCATCGGTGTAAAACAGATCAATTACGAGTAATTAAACGGCAGCAACCTTACATTTTTGGATATCGAAGAACTGCATAGCGACCGTGAGAGCATCGCCATATTTCGAAGAGACAGTACCTGGAAGATACCCATATTTCTTCTTGTAAGTAAACACTACAGCGAACGCCACCACCCCCAATACTACCATCACAATGAACCATCCAAAATATCCTTGAGATTTCACTCGCTCCCCCATTTTCCCCATCTTCATCGCCACAATCAGACTCAGATCTGAAGAAAATCGATTCGTCAATGAATTGAAATCAGAAATGAAGAATGGAATTTTTTTTTACGAACAAGTGTAGCCTTGGCTGGACTTGATTCAAAGGTATTTCTCGTTTCACTCCTGTATTCTTGTTGATGGATCAGTGGATAGATTGAAGCCTTTGGGAATGATTTTCGTAGCTTTAAACTACCATTTTCCAGCTTCTCCGCCATTATCGAACTCAAATGGAGTTATGGTGGTGGGCTAACCTTTCTCCCCGCTCAATTTATACTCTTCGGTATTCGATGCTTCTCAAATCTCAATATTTAACGGGTGACGTAATAAAAACATAATAATAATGTAAAATGTTACGAGTAAACCACAAATTTGGTCCCTTTTGTTTCTTGAAATTACACAGTAGTTTCGAAGTTACAAGATGTCCATCAGGTTTTACGAAAACATTCGGATTTGGTCCTTCTTTCTAATGACCGTTGAAAAGTTTCGTTAAGTGAGAGGTATTTTCATTCTTTTATCGATTTTTTTGTCTTTTATCTGATCGATAACTAGAGGGACAAAAATCATTAAATCAAAAATACAGGGACGAACTCAGAATTTTTTTCAAATGATGGAACCATTTGATTATAAGAAACAAATACAGGAATTTTTTTTCAAACAGTGACACCATTTGACTAAAATGACACTAACAGGATTCGAACTTGGGTCTGAGGCGGAATAAAAGTCTTGCAAACCAACTTTACTAAAGAAAACTTGTTCTCATTATAGTTTCGAATTACATGCGGTGACACACAACAAATTAATATTTGCATTTTTCACGAATCTAAATTTTTTTATCCTTTGAAGGAGAAATAATACGGTGGCACGTGTCACCGTTGGCACCACTGTAGGTCCGTCCATGCAAATATATCCAGTAAAATGATAAAAATGTCCCTCATTTGTCTGAATATTTTAATGGTTTCTGAATATTTTAGTAGTCATTAGAAAGGTACTCATGCAATGCATCGAGACACATCTTGATTTCGATGTTTCGTTTTATTCCCTTTTTATGTCGATATAATACGGTTTTATGTGGTTTTGAGAAAACGATAATGTTTTTATTTTTTAATAAAATATAAATTAAAAAATATTATAAAAATTTTAAAAAAATATATTGATATCAGTATCAAATTAATCTTTCTAACAGTTCTTGTGTTCAGTGTAATTTCCTTAATTCAAATTTCTTAATTATAATTTAATTTTTGTTTAATAATATAATTTTATAAAGATAATAATTAAGTATTTTGTTAGAATTTAATGATTATTCTAATTATATTTTAGATTTTTTAGATTTAAAATGAGATGTTTGTCATGTATTTAATTATGTGTGTTTGCAGTTAGTTACAAGAATTCAAAGATAGAGCTTTAATAAGTTGTACTTGAGCACAATCTACTTGTAATATTGAATTTTAAATAATATGCATCAATAAACAGTATTTCATGCATAAAAATAGTTTTTAAGAGTTTTTTTGTCAAATGTTTTATATATAGTATAGATTAGAGACATGGACCAAATTTAGATATTTTTGCAAAGTAACATAACTATCTTGTAATTTTGATACTACAAGGACTAAAAATGCTATTATTGACAAACTATATGAACCAAATTTGTAGTTTACTCAAAGAATCAATAAACATATTACTTGAGTAAAAGTTAACTTGTATTTTCTTCCTCCAAAATAAATGTTATCAATTAAAATAATATATGGTTTTAAAAATAGATCATTATTATATTTTTTTAATTGAATAAATGATATTTTTTTAGTATATAATATTTATATACGGTAAATAAAACAAATAAATTCATACATCTTTTTTATTTTTGATGAGGTTTGAATCATGACCTCGAGGTCAAAGACTCACATACCTCTAGGACATAGACTATTTGGTGATATTTATATGGGAAAAGTCTAAAAAATCCAATTGACTTTAGTGTTTGGAATATTAAGTCCTTGGACAATTTTTTTTGGAACAAATAAGTTCTTGAACATTCCAAAACATGCTAAACAAATTCTTTGACTTTCTAAAACTTGTTATATACATCCTTATAACCTATAAAACTAATTAACGTAGTAAAATAATGGAAAAAACATGAAAAAAAGCCAACGAACATTCATATTTTAAGCGATAAAGTCCCTAAACATTTTTTGAACAAAAAAAGTACTTGCGTTATATAAAATAAAACAAATATACCAAAACATACTTACATTTAAAAAAGATTATTGATGAAATTTATTTTAATTAAAAATAAAAGATATTATGTCAATGATTTTTCAAATTCAAAAAAATAAAAAATATATTAAAAAGAATTAGTGATTATATATATTTTTAGTTAAAAATAAAATATAATTCGTATATGATTTTTTTAAATTAAAAAATAAAAAAATAATTTAAAAATGATTATTGATTAAATATATTTTAATTAAGAATAAAAATATTTTTTTAATGAAAATAAATTTCATCAATAATCTTTTTAAATCTCTTTTTTAATTTAAAAAAAATCACATAAATGATATATTTATTTTTAATTAAAATAAATTTAATCCCTAATTTTTTTTTTTCTAATTTTTTTTTAGTTTGAAAAAATATTGACATAATATATTTTAACTTTAATTAAAATAGATTTTATCAAAAAAAATTAATGTAATTATTTTTTTGTAAATGTAAGTATTTTTTTTATTATATTTGTTTAATTTTATATATATAAATACTTTTTGGTTCATAAAATGTTTAGAGACTTAATCGTTCAAAATATGAATGTTCATTGGGTATTTTTTAGACTTTTTTCATTATTTTACCACATTAACCAGTTGTATAGGTTATAAGAATGTATCTAACAGGTTTTAGAAAGTTCAATAAGTTATTTAACATGTTTTCAAATGTCCAAGGACTTATTTGTTCCAAAAAATTGTCTAAAAACTTAATCATTCCAAACACTAAAGTTCACTGGGTTTTTTTAGACTTTTCCTTATTTATATTCTTGATAATGGAGAAATTTTTTCTCCATATCATAATTAAAGATAAAATTAAAAATAAAAACTTAATTATGAAAGTAGACATTTATTTAAAAAAAATAAATAAAAATATAGAAGAAGTAACAAATTAGGTCATTTTCTCAAAAATAAAAGTTGGTGGTATATGAGAGTATCTTCTATAACTATTCTTTCTTCAACAAGAGTCAAAAAGCTATGTCTGGTTCCCATATATTTTTCATCTTAAATATATTTAGAGTTAGTTTACCAAATGTTTATCCAGATAAGTGCTTATCAAGTCATATTACTTTATCGAATGAATATGACAAAGAACCAAAAATCTTACCCGGTAAAAACGAGGCAAGGACCAAGAATCTTATCCGATAAATGAAGACAACGACCCTTTACCAAGGTCAGCAATTACCAATAAATTGTTACATACAATGTTATTTTGGTAAACTAAAATCTTACTTGGTAAGCAAGTGATAGTGTTGACTGAAACACCCAAAAACCGATTATTACGTCTTTAAATAATAATAACCAATTTAAACACAGATCCAAAAACCACACTATTAGTGTGACAACAAAATCAAAAACATCAAAAGTAACATTCCAAGAAACAAAAATGATATGTGCAGCATAACAAAGTACATAAAACGGAACCGAAAAACGAGCCTAATACATCCCGCCCAGATGAGGGTAGCGACTGTAAAGTAAAAAATACAAGCAGACCTATCATCTATCCCAAAAAGCAAGCGGAACAAATGTTTCTAAACAAGTACATATACGTGTACATAACTAAATATTACTGCATTTTGCTACAAAATTCAAGTATTGTATCGACGACTTTCATTTCAACTTCTATAGAAGTCGAGCATTTCCTCTTCCACGGGATGAGTTTTGCCTACGATCGTGAGGCAATGAAGAGGTGGACCGAAGTCAACCGCCCGTAACTGCTTCATTGAACCCGCCACCACCATTTGGTTCTCGCTTCCTAGCCGTGCAAATCCAACACAAAGCGTGTCTTCATTATAAGCTGCCAAATAAAAGAAACCGTCAAGATGGCATTTTTCTTTAATGTCGATCAAAAATAAGTTGTTCTATATCTTATGCCCTCAGAGAAACGAACCCAGTATAACCCACTCCGAGATGGGGTCGTGGGTTGGGATGTACACAGACCTGACCTCTACCATAAGGGTTAGAGCAACAGACCCTCGGCTTGTGAAAAGTGTGAAAGTTTATAAAAAGGCCAAGAAAACGAAAGATTATATTTATATAAAATGACGTGTGAACATATATACCAGATTCTCCACGTAGTTGTTCAACCTCCAGGAGCTGATCAATGGCAACACCAATCGTCATAAAAGTAGGCGGCTCGTACTGCTTTTTTCCTCTGAAATCTAAAATGTCAGGGTATGCGAGAATGAAATGGAACTAAATATGAAATATATCGGGTGTCCGTATTCTAACCTGCATAATGATTCCAATGAAGGTTCTTTAACACGTATATCTGCAATGCCAAAAGAGTGAGTTTCACCGCACAAATCGCCTAAAGATTAAGAAGATAAATGAGAACCGTGAATATTTTTTTAACTCAGGAACCAACTATTTCATGAATTATTCATAATAAATAACCCTAAAATATTGACGATGAATGATTCATGAATAGTTGGTTCCCATGTTCTCAAAATATTTATGGTTTTCATTTGAACTTGTCCCAATATATGCACCAACATAAAGAGTAATAATTACATATTTCTAAAAATGTACGACTTTTTCATCATAGGCATTTATTTCAGATGGGTTGAGCAATTGCCAAAAGTGTATATATATATATTACCTAACAAGCACAGGGTGTGTAGTCCAAGTCCTCGATTTCTTTGAATCTTCTCATAGAAACTATCGGGCCTCCATGTTTCCGTGAAGAATGGTAATGAAACGGTCTCTCCATAACGGTAGAGTTGTAAACCACATACTCCAACCGCATTCATTACCGATGCATTATATATAACCTTAACTTCCACCTCCAATTTCTTCGCCCGTACCACTAGGTCACTATGTGTCGTTGCTCTGTTTTTGACAAATTATACGTATTACCAATTAAAAATGGAAAAATTAAAATAAGTATCCACATTTCTATCTTTAATTGTCCAAAATAAGTGTCCAATTCTACCCCTGATTATGAAATGAAGAAATTCATTACTCCATCTATTATTAAGAATAAAACTATTATTTAGTAGTGTAATAATTATACATTCCTAAATTTGTGTGCCTTTTTCATTGTGGACATTTATTTTGGAACAGGACAAAACTTTAACACATTCTGAGAGCAGAAAATAGATAATATGAGTTAGGAAGTGTATCGTCACCCAAAAGGATCTCCAACGACAAGAAAAGCAACATCAAATTCACAGGCCTCCAACAACATATCATCGGCCTTTTCCTCCACCATTTCCCTATCTGCAATTATAAGTGGCTTCCCGTACAATTTTTCCTATAAAAACTTGATATCAGTTTCATCCCCTACAACATGAACACTTAGAAATACAAATCAACACATAGCAATCAAATATTCCTACACTTGACGTGACATTAAACTAGAACAAGACAGGACCTCTGTAAGACAATATTGCATTTTTTTCTGTCCCACCAAAAAAGGTGGAACAAAAATCAGGAAGATGGGGCAAGATCGGTACTTGCCCCAATTACTAAACTACCTATGTGAAATTGTTAAACCTTTTTAACTTCAAGAATCAATAAGAACCCATTACAAGGAAGCAATTATGGTAAGAGAAAGTGTGGAATTTAGAGAAGGAAGAAGGGATTACCAAGGTGGAGATGCCATCTTTGGAGATACCAAATGAAAGGAGAGAAGTGTAGGATTCAATGTAGAGCTTTTGGGATTTCTTGACAGCTTCTAATCCTCTCAATGTAATGTCTCTTTCATCTCCTAATCCCAATCCGATTATGTATAACATCTTCTTCAATTTGACGTTCGCCTGTCTTCTTTGATGAGAAATTGGAGCTGTTTGTGAATGAACGTTAAAACCCTAATCCTATATAAAGATATAGATTGATTTATTGAAGTGATAAATAAATTTGTCAACCAAAAATAACAAATAAGTCGATATGCCCGAGTAGTTAAGGAGACAGACTTGAAATCGTAAGAGAAAACAAATACACAAGCATTTGAATGTAAATATTCAATAAGTTAACGAGTACAACCAAGTGATTTCGATCCATGACCACAAAATTTACAAAACAAACAATAATCAAAATTCATAGTAGCATCATATATTCAATCACTGAAACAAATTTCATAGGAGCATTGAACTAAAAAAACAGTCTTGAACAAGTGTAAAACAGATGCAGAAAATCAACACCAAACAAGTCTTGAGCAAGTCTAAAACAGATTGGAAAATTGACACCAAACCAATCTTGAACAAGTCCAAACAGATGTGGAAAATTGACACGAAATTAGTCTTGAACGAGTCCAAACAGATGTGGAAAATTGACACTAAACCAGACTTGAACAAGTCTAAAACAGATTGGAAAATCGACATCAAACCAGTCTTGAACAAGTTCAAACAGATGTAGAAAATCGACATCAAAACCAGTCTTGAACAAGTCCAAACAGATGTGGAAAATCGACATCAAACCAGACACCAAAACAGTAGCAAATGTCTCCATCAAACAAGTCTGAAATTGAGTCTGAAACAAGTCTACAATCAGGGGCGGTCCAATGGTTTTGAATGCCCTGGACGGGAAGCCAAAAAGATGCCCCTGCTCCAATAAACCAAGAACTCAAGAAGGCACAAATTTTTAAGGGGTTTGGAACCTAGTCAAGCTTCCCTTGCTTTTTTGAAAGGAGACAGCTTCCGTTAATTATGAGTAACTCTCGCCCATTCTTAATCCCAGAAATAACTCATTTGAAACGAAAGTAGTAAGATATCGTATTTATCACTTTTAATTTGCATTAGGGCAGTGCTTTTTGTACCTAGGCTTTATAAGCATCGGGTACTGCTTTTCAAGAGAAGATTAAGAGCAACTCCAATTTGAAAATGGAAGATTAAGAGCAACTCCAATTTGAAAATGGAAGCAGACAAATCAATTTGTGACAATCCAACAAAGAGACATACAAACTCACATACAACGCAAGGAGGTATACATATAACAGTAACAGTTCATGTTACCTTTAATTTTAGTCAGCAACATAATTACAGGAAGCCTTATTGTTGGCCTTATTTGATCCAGAAATTTCAATTTGTCTGTTACCTATTTTTGTTAACTGGTGATTCTTGGTTACTCTAAGCCATTATCATAGCTTACTGTTTGTCCACCTACTTACGACTTAAGAATGTATAATCTACTCTAAATTAATACATTACTACTAAAAAACTGATGACCACCAAGCACCACTCCCCAGACTATACTATGGACGACTTGTGTGCAGGCCTCACTTGCATTGTAGCAAAGAGGCTATTTTCATGACTTGGACACTCCGGTCATTAAAGGGTAATGATATCAACTACTTCAAGGTTAATCACAGGATATACTTGGCGATTTCAAGACCAATCTATGGTGGCTGAGTTTGTAAGCAAGCCCAACCCCATGACCAACTGGACTCACTATCAAATTGTCAATTACTCCACTCTCTTTCTAGTTTCTAGTGTGTGTAAATTGCTTTACTACTGTAGAGTTAGTTTGTGTTTCAGTCCAGTATGAACTATGGCCACATGACCTATGGTTTCTGCTGAAAATCAATATGGGATGTAGGCATTGATCATCGCAAGGTCAATCCACTCCCAACAAAATGAGCATGGATGTTATGCCATACAGTGGTTATACGAGTGAATTATAGTTCGTAGCATCAGGAATCATCAAAAAAGGATTTCGGTTAACTTTACATATGAAACTTCAAGCTTAATTCGAGGTTAACAATAGTAAAGCAATTCAAGAACAAAAAACAAATGTTAGGGTTTAATTGAAGTACCTGAGATGTTAAATCAGCAGCAGTGTAAATGAGGGCAGATGTGATACTTTTGGTAACAATCGGTCAGGAGCGAGAGCCGGGAGGGAAGGACGAAAGGTCAAAGCGAAGCCTCGAAGGGAACTAGGGTTTAGGGAGGACGAGGTGGAGCCTGGAGCGGTGGAGCCTGGAGCGAAGCAAACCCTCTGGACTGATATTATAGACCGGCTTGGGCTATAGGGCTATACTAATGCCCCTTGGGCTGTGGCGAAGGCCCATGTCGCCCATACCGAGGGCCGGCCCTATTACTACAATCGAGTCTTGAATAAGTCTAAAATCGAGTTTAATGAATAAACTTAGAAAACCCAATGAAGAAGACCGTGGAACTCGAAAACGTAATGAAGAAGTCGAAGACCGTGGAACTCGGAATTGAAAACCTGGAGAAATCGAAATATAAAGCCTAACGAAGAAGTCGTGGCGATGGAGGAATCGAAAGTGTACCTGATGTAGAAGCAGTCGTGAACTATGGAGAAATCGAATGTGAAGCGAATAAAGGGATGTTTGGGATTGTTTATTTAAAACAACTTATGTTTTTTTGTAAAAGTGTTTATTAACTTATGTGGTATCAAACCGGAGTTTTGTAAAAAAATGTTTAAATTAGCTTATAGTGGTACCAAAAAGTAATAAGTTCATAAGCTGTTTTTTAGTGTTTAGCAAATTTTGCTTATATATGTAAAATGACCAGAAATGACAGTCTTTCATATTATTGACTTATGAAGTGTTTGGGATTGCTTATTAACTTATTTGATTTTTAACATGTAAAAATTTATTTTTCATTATTTATAATAATATCTTTAATAATTAGAAAACATTAATAAAGCAGGGTTAAAATGGTAAACTGGTAATAAGCAGCTTTTCATAAATCAGAAAGAATTAACTTATAAAAAATTGCTTATTACCGGTTTGGCACCGATATAAGCAGTTTTATTTTTCTTCATCCAAACACTAGCATTCAGCTTATCACCGGTGCCAAACTGAAATAAATTAAAAAACACCTAAAATAAGCAATCTCAAACACCCCCTAAGTCGATGAACTGTGGAGCCGTTGATTTTAAATTTAGGTTTTAGAATCAGATGTTGGAAATACGGTAACGTGGTAATCTTATATTTAGGTCCTTTACCAAATGCTTATCTTAGTAAGTATTTACCAAGTTATATTAATATGATAAGGACTAAAAATCTTACCCGGTGAAACAAAAGCAATGACCGTTAATCTTACTTGGTAAGTGAGGATGAGATAAAAACCATTTATTTTGTGTATTATTTATGATGAATAATATCTATACTATATTATAAAACATTTGACAAAAACTCTTAAAAACCATTTTCTTTTATGCACGAAGTACTCTTTATTGATGCATATTACTTAAAATTCAAGATTACAAGTAAATTGTGCATAAGTACAACTTATTAAAGCTCTATGTTTGAATTTGTGTAACTAACTGCGGACAAAACATAAACAAATAGAGGATAAACATCTCATTTTAAAATATAAAAAATCTAAAATATAATTAGGATAATTATTGAGTTCTAACATAATACTTAATTATTATATTTATAAAAAAATATTATTAAACCTAAATTAAGTTAAATTAAATTATAATAAAAATCTTGAATTAAAAAAATATACAAACAAGAACTTTTAAATAGTTAATTTGATACTAATATTGATATATTTTTTTACAAATTTTATATGATATTGTCAAAAATAAAAATTATTGCTTTCTCAAAACCACATAAATCGTATTATATCGACATAGATAAAAATTAAATGAAACATTGAAATGGAAATGTGTCTCAATGCATTGCACGAGTACCCTTCTAGTATAAAATAAGTGGTCTTTTAATTCTTAAAATATTATGGTTATCGGAATCTGTCTCTATTACGTTTTTATCTTTGTTTATCATCGACTATATTTTGGTTAAGTTAAATACGAACCATGAGAAAGTTCAAAATATAAAATTCTTTCAAAAATTTACTGCAAATCATATATAAACATCTAAAAATTTACAATTTGTCGTAAATATCTTCTAAACCAAACCAAAGCAAATGATTTCGGTATATCCGACTTTGAAGGAGGGGCGGATTTAAGACAGGGGTAGGGGTCAGAGGCCCCCAACAAATCTAATGAGTTGCATGTTAATTTTTATTATCTAGATTGTTTACCTAAAGTTATAAAGTGCCCCCGACAAATGAAAAGTAAGGGTGTGTAGAAAGTCATCCGATTCAATTTAAACCAACCGACCATAATTGGACATCCAGTTGTAATTGAATCGGACCGGATCCAAAATTTCAACATCCAAATAGGATTGGTTGGTTCTTAGATGACGGTCCAGTATCCAATAAAACCGAACCGATCAAATCCAACGACGATCCAATTCCCCATCCAACTAATATCCGATTAATAACTATATATAATTATTAACATTTTAGATTATTGTTTTTTAGTTGATATTTATATACATTGTTTTCTAATAAATTAAGAAAATATATGAATAATTGATTGAAAAGGTGGATTAATTGGTTGAATATTGGATCAAAAGATTGGACTGATCCAATCTGATTTAATGGATAACCAATAGTAACATCCAACGGATGGAACCAATCCGATCCTATCATCCATTGGATTTGGATCGAATTGGACGCCCAATGTTAATCGGATCAGATTAGGTGACAAAATCCAACATCCAATGGATGATTGGATCGGGTCGGATTCACCTAAATCCATTGGATTTCAACCGATGAACACCCCTGTGAAAAAGGCCCCAAAATCCATCGCTTCCTTGGTTAATTATTGTTTTTCACCCAAATATTATTTGATTTTAGTTCATTATTATTTGATTTTATATTACGTTCTCCACAATAAAAAAATTTGGATCCGTCATTGCTTTGAAGTATCGTCTAGAAGGTATGATGTACACATATCAGTCTTCTACCTCAAAGTGTAGAGAGGTCGCAAGTTTCTTAGGGACCATTTACTAAACACTTACTTGGTAAGTGCTTACCGGATAAAATTTCTTATCGGATGAACATAAGAAAGGTCAAGAATCTTATCGGGTAAGAGCGATGAGAATGATGGAGAGTCTTACCCGGTAAGTGAGGATGACGCCTCTTACCCAGGTAAGCACTTACCCAGTAAATTGTTGCATTCAATATGTTTTGATGTACTAAAATCTTGCACATTAAAATAAATTATAGTGTTGACTCTTACCGGGTAAGCAATTGGGTAAACGACCCCTTATTTTATTTGTAATGATTTATGTACTTTTTGGGCAAAGAGGGCTTATTGTACGTTCTGTATAATAATGGTCACATTCAGTCTTTGTACTTATCTGTTATGTTCCTACCTATCTAATCATTCATACCCTTGTAAATTTCTAAGAAAAAAAAATCGATACTAAAGTGCGTGGTAGTTGAATATAGAAAACGTAGAAAGCTTGTATATCTGACTTGATTACGTTATCAGTCTTATAGATATTATTTCCTGACCTCCATCTCAGTCATCAGATCAAGATCGCTTTGATCTGTATGGATTTATTTTCATACACATGCAGTTATCCTTTTAGCTTTTGGAGATGCATTTTGGTTGGACTGACCAGTTTTGAATTTTTTTTCCAGATGAATGATGATGAATATAATCAGTATTTTCATTATTTGGGTTAGTTTTTGTGGTATTTTTGTTCAAACGCGTTCTTTTATTCCTTTTATTCATTAAATTTTCTTAAATAATGTTATATATTCTTTTTTAAATTCCTCTTTTACATAATTAAGAGATCGTTTTACCAAACGTTTACCAGATGTCACTAAGGGGCTATTTACCAAATGCTTACTTGGGTAAGCGCTTATCAAATCACATTCCCTTACCGGATGAATATGACAAGTACCAAGAATCTTACCTGGTAAGAGCGAATGAACGAATCGAGAGTCTTACCCGGTAAGTGATGACGACGACTCTTACCACGGTTAGCGCTTACCGGGTAAATTATTACATACTATGTCGTTTGGTAGACTAAAATCTTACCTAATAAGTAAGAGATAGAGTTGAAATTTATCGTTAAGCGCTTACCGGGTAACTGTTTAGATAAACGGCCCATTACTTTGTAGTGTAAATATGGCAAGGACGATATTTCTATCCAGTAATATACGACAAACAAGACAGAGAATATTATCCGGTACGCATTTACCAGGTAAAAAGTAGTTACAAACAATGAATTTTGATGACCAAGAATGTTATTGATAAAGTAAGAGAGCTGACTCCTACTGATAAAAAATTATCTAATAAGCATCTAGAGATGGCCAAATTGGTCCGGCCCGGCCCGGGACCGGGACCGGTAAGGACCGGTTATGGGACCGAAAACCGGGACCGATTGAGGTTTTTGGTAGTTTCGTGAGACCGACCGGGACCGGGACCGGTTATGAGACCGACTATGGACCGGCCCGGCCCGGCCCGAAAATTCAAATAATTTTATAAATAAATGTATTTTTATAAGAAAACGTAATTTTAATTATATTAAAACGCATTTTTAAAGTGTATATGAGTGACCCAATTGTAAATTTTATAATGTATTAAAAATATACTAGAAGGGTACTCGCGCAATGCAGCGAGACAAATCTCGATTTTAATGTTCTATTTATTATGTGTTTTTGTAGATGTTATAATACGATTTTATGTGTTTTTAAGGAAACAATAATGATTTTATTTTTGAATAAAATATAAATTTGAAAATATAATAATTTTGAAAAAAATTATATCAATGTTAATATTCAATCAACTATTTAAAAGTTTTTATATTTTATGTAATTTATTTAATTTATT